AAAAAGGCAGAAAATAGTAAAAATGGAGCTACGCCCCCAAATTTGTGACATCACTTTCCTTCAAAAATTAAACCCCCTTTTTTTGGGGGAAAATTTTTTGGAATATTAAAAAACCCCCCCACTTCCGGGCCGGGGAAAACCAATTTTTTTCTTTTTAGACGTAAAAAACCCCGTCCCAAAAGTTTTCCCACCGCAGGAGCACGAAGATGCGGTTGCACGTGCATTTAAATCAACGTGCCAACCCTAACATACCCACAGAAGATGTTCTTAATATGATGGACACTGTCCTTGAAAATAACACTATTTCATTTGATGGAAGAAAATTCACGCAGACAGAAGGAACAGCGATTGTGTTTCACGGTTAGGGATTGAATTACGCATCTACATATCTTGGATCATGGGAATCACAGCTGATGACGAATAACAGATAAACTTCCGCTTGAGTATTTCCGGTATGTTGATGACGTTTGGGGCCTTTGGACTCACGGTATCGAGTCGTTAAAAGCATTCATGAGCTTGGGAATAACCTTCATCCAAGAATAAATTAGAATTAAGATATTCTACTGAAAAACTTGAGTTTCTCGACGTAATGACGAAGATTCAGAATGGCATTTTAATAACAGACCTATACACTAAGCCCACAGATAAACACCTGTACTTGCATAAAAATTCGTCTCATCCGGAATCGACAAAAAAAAATCAATACCATATGGACTTGCCCTCCGTGCTAAGCGAATATGTACTAATGAATCGACTTACAAACAACATAGAGAAAATATTAAAACTCAGTTACAGAAACGAGGCTATGAAGATCGACATATTGAAACAGAATTAAATAAAGTAGATAGTAAAAAAAAGAAGTGACCTATTACATTATAATGAAGATAAAGAAAACACTGAAAGAATCCCCTTGGTACTGACATTTTCCAGAGCGCTCCCGAATGTAGGACAAATAGTACGAAAACACCTACCTGAATTACACACCTCAGATAGAATGAAGGAAATATTCCCGAATCCACCAATTGCAGCATTTAGAAGAGATAATAACCTACAAGACATTCTCGTTCATAAGAAACACAATAAATTATTTTTTTCAACAGCCGAATTCCTGTGCTCCTTGCAGATCCAAAAAGTGTGCGATTTGTCCGTACGTTATTGAAGCAGACACATTCATTGGTGTGAACGGGGCCTCGTATAAGGTTCGAAATCAGATCACGTGCAAATCTACGAATGTTGTGTATGCAGTTTATTGTAAGCGTTGCGAACGTTATATTTATGTTGGAGAAACAGGGGATACGTTGTACCAAAGACACCTTCTTAATTTATCCAGAATACGAACCAAATACAACGATCCGTTAGCGGCGCATTTTTATACGAACGACCACACAGTAAATGATTTTTCAATAATGGGGCTGGAAAAGCTATACGGGAATGAACAATACAGAAAAACAATAGAAAATTTGTGGAAAAATAAATTAAGAACCTATAGACCGTATGGAGTTAATACAAAAGAATAACGCGGCAGACGACAACCAACGCCACGGCGGTCGTCGTTCATTGACGTTACGTCACTTCCATTGTTTTGTTTGATATATTTGTATGTGAAATAAATGCTGCTGAAGAAGGCCGCAAGGCCGAAAGCTACGGCAAATTTAAATTAGCGTTTTTGCTTATATACGGCAAGTTAGAGATTTTACTTATAATATATATATATATATTGATTGTAACTTGTATGAATGTATATTGATGGGACTTTAATAAATAATAATACTAATACTACATGCATTTCACGTAAACAGAATAAAATGTTCCGGAACAAAACAATATGTTGCTATTTTAAGTAGAAATTTAGCAATGATTTTGTGCATGCGCCATTCGCTCTTAAGGAAATATACGAACATATACAGGTATTTTGGAAGTATTCTTTTTCAGAATTCAAACAATAATTTTTGAAGCAGATATATACACTTTAAGAAAATGATAAATGATTTAGCCCTGAAGATCAAGGCTTTTAAGTGATCATGAAAAAATGTATTATCTTTCACATCTCTAGCACCGGTTTAAGCGGTATGCTTTCATTTTTCAACACTTACATGCTGGAATCAATGCTCCAACTTTTACAGCTGCACTGCACTTGATACTTTATTGCTGTTGTGAAGTACATGCATAAAAATCTGGAAAATGGGTGATCCTTCGGAAGCATTGAAAACCACCATATAAGATGAAAATTGCAGATGTTAATGAGAGATAACGGAAAAGTGAAATATCTAACCCATGCTAGTGCATATTTTTAATATAATAAAATATATATATACTCGATCGTATATTGTCAAATACACTCTCAAATGAATTGTCTCATATTAATAAACGGCGTTTTATATGTATAATATCATTGTAACGTTTAATGAATATGAGACATGAACATTATTTTTTACTAACAACCTTATATTAACTCACATTAAATGTGAATTTGAATTCAAGCATTTTAAATACTCTAAATTTATCAATGATATTCCAAACTTGAAATTAGTGACAATGATTAACGCTGGAAGTATGTCTTTTTTGTAGATGGAAACTTTTCATCATTTAATTTATCTGTAACGTAGTTATAGAGATAATGTATTCTATATTTAGACAACATGTGTCAGTGATTTTATTACCAGAATTAATGGCTTTCAAAAAGAAATAACAACAAAAGTTGATGAAAGTTTGTCTTCTAACTGGACTGACTTTAGAAATCTGGAAACAGGGCGATCTCTCGGAAGCATGAAAACCAGAAAATTTCATCAAATTGCAAACTAGGTTTGATTGAGTCTGATTATGATGGTCAACGGAAAATGCGCAGCATCTCTCACGCGCCAAACCATCGGCTATAGCCGAATTCAATCTTCAACACTTAATGTTTTAGAATTAATTATCTAGTAGGACGAAACATTTTTATTTTTTTGATAATATAAATTTTAAATTTCGGTAAATTTTTAAAAAGGAAGTAAAAAACCAACTGTTTTCTTCTTTGATATAAGTTTGAAACCATATACATGTATAAATACTCGTAGTTCGTAATTGAATGGCAATGTTTTATATTTCATATCTTTCATTAACGTTTTGTATGTAATTGTGTATAATGATGAGACTGTAATAAAATACAAAAGATCTGTTACAGTCGTTCCATTTAGGTAAGACAAATGACGTCACGTATTTGTATAATAAAAAAACACCCGCGGGAAAAGTGACGCGTGGTCTTTTATAAACGAATAAAACATATCACTACATAATTGAAAGTTAATAACTTGCGATTATGTGAAAAGACTTTCGATATAACATTTTTTACACCTTAAGTTACCTATATAATTTTTTTTTATGAAATGATATAAGCCCAAATTGATTTCGCACATTTTTTTCGCTCCTTTAATATATTCATAATATTTTGCGCCTTCTCCGTGTTACTTTTTGACAGCCATAATTTATGAGCGGTGTGCTGACATAGGTAATGTCTAATGTTACTAGGTATCATGAAACTCACGCTACCTTGGTCGGTATATTGCTGAAATAGCTTTAAATTAGCACATCTTTTATAAAAGAGAAAATTATAAATTAAGAAAGTTATACCCGTTAAAATATTCTTTGTTACAAAGTGTTATATCAAAATAAAGCAACACAAATGTTATTTATTGAGGCAAGAAAAGTGAATACATTTGAAAATGAATCGTAAATTATTCGTGTTATTGACACAAAGAATGTGACACATTGACAATTAAAGGTTCCACCTTCTAAATATGTAATCAAATAATGATTCAGGGATAGACTGGGACAGATATATTTATTGTCAGACAGTTAATAATTAAGCAGTTTTAGGAATGTTGTAAGACAAATGAGCCGCGTCACGACAAAACCAACATAATGGGTTAGCGACCAGCATGGATCCAGACCAGCCTGCACATCCACGCAGTCTGATCAGGATCCATGCTGTTCGCTTACAGAACCTATAACAAGTAAAGAAACTGATAGCGAACAACATGGATCCTGATCAGACTGCGCGGATGCGCAGGCTGGTCTGGATCCATGCTGGTCGCAAACCCATTATGTTGATTTTGTCGTGACACGGCTCAAATGCTGCTTGATGTTTGTTTGTTATGTTGTATCTTAAGCATCACAGACACTGTATATATTATATATAGGGTGACCTTTAAGCTTAATTGGTGAAGGAAGACATATTTTGAACCATTCTCAATATGACAAATTTGCATATTGTAGTAATACAAACAGTCGAAATTCTCATGTATTTTTTGCCCATATTATAACTCTCAGCTTAGAACATATTCTAGAGTAGGAGCATAACAAAGATGTTGTTTGTTGTCTAGGAAATACTTAACCTATTCCTTCTTGACTCTTGGTCAAATCATACGACACCTACCTATTAAAGAGTGAAACAAAACAGTTTGGAAAAGGGAATTTCCACAGCATCGCTGCATTTATTTAAAAATAAAAATTAAATGGAATATATGTTACGATTGAACTAAACAATGAAATTAGTACGGCCTGAAATGACATCAGGAGCGTATGTGGATTTGACCCAAGTAGATTTTACTGGTAAGACCGACAACAGTTGTACTGTATACAAATGAAACGGGGGTAGATGGAATAAACCAAGTATTTGTCCACTTTATTTTATTTACCTACAATGTTTGGTTAAAATCGAGATTACGGTTAGGATCTGCTGGCATAATTAAAACTTTACTTGGCAAGACTTTGGATTGAAGACCACCAAAACTGTCGATGGGTTAAAAAATTTGGTGAAATCAGTCAAGGTGTTAGAACATTATTTCAACTTACACTTCATTAACTTTGTTATTTTGACAATCAAAATTTATTCCAAACCAGGTCTTCGTGTACGCTATATTATAGAGATGGAAATATTTAAATTGACAATCGTTAACGGTAGTAATTTGTTGGCAGTAAAGATAATTGAAATGGGTAGCAAACATGAAGAACGTTAAAACTTTGATTGTGTGATATATTCTTTAATAACGATTAGATATAAGCTTATTTTCAAATATTTATAAAAGTTTCATTCAAATTATCATGACAAACAATACAAGATAGGAACAGAAAACAACCAACCTAGCGCTAACATCTTTCTTATGAACTAGACTGAAATTAATTAAATAATTACAATCCACTTGTTGCAGTAGTATGCACAACTTTGTTTTTATATTTATCCTTTGGTAAAGCCAGTTCAATATATGTATCTTCTGCATCCGAACTCGTGTACAATAACCTTTCCCTTGAAAACCACCCTACACTATTGACTTTATCGGTAATCTGGTCATTACTTGCGGACATACTTCCCTCATTACCCCTTACAAGGTCTGGTTGAATTCCACAACGCCTACTATTAGGAATTGAAAGCATTTGAAGGAGTGATGAGAAAAAGGAATGTATTTGACTCCATATTGTCGACAAATCCATGATGATGATAGTACCAATTACTGCCATTATAATAGCACCTGCGACTATTCCAATTCCTATAGAACTTGGTCTATAATCCATCACGCTTACATACTTCCGCAGACTTGAAGATGTATTTTTCTTATCCAGAGAGAGTTCATTAACGATAATTTCAATCTTTTCTTCTATTGTGAGGTTCTCCGTTTCTGGTAAAGGATTTGGTAAAAATGTCCAGAGTTTTTCACAAAGACATTCGCATGGTTTCACATTTGTTGTATTAGTGACAGTAATGTTTGGTTGTTGTAACGTGCAGGTAATATCAGTAACTGTCGGGCTGGTATCTACTTTATCTAAAGATAGGTATTCTACAATAAATAATTGATAAATCAAAATCAATCAATCAATCAATATGGTTGATAATTTTATATTTGCAAGAACCTTTTAAAATACAATAAAAATTAACTATGGTTATTGATGTCACAGATCGATATTATATCAAACAAGACAAACCCGTAAAGAAGCAATGAGCAACTTTTAATGCGAACTAGGACGATTTTACATGTTTAGATAAAAGGTGTAATTAATTGAGAATTTATTGATTATCTTACCACCTTGAAGTATGGAGTTGTTTCTTGACACAATACCTATTTGTACACACAATGATATAAGTATACATCCCAAAGTTTTTTTTTAAATTACTGCCTTCAATAAAGTTTCAATGTTATATAAAATTAATAAGTGAAGGTTTGAATCCACACATTTGCTATAGTAAGAATACAATATCTACATGTACAGTGCTTCAATTACTCCTTAAATAGTCAAAAATTACCAGTTTTGTGCCCACATATTTCTGGTGCAAAGTCCTCTGAAGGTAAGTAGCAGATCGTAAAAATTGTTGAGCTAGTGTATACTTTAGGAACCACGTGACACATGTTCATCTTAAAAAAGAAATATAACATGTGAGCGGCATTAACTGGTTTTACAATTTATCGCAAGGTATTTATGTTCATTATATCCAACATACGCAACAAAAGTATGCTTGTAATTGCCAAAGATTTCCAATTTTAAAGACTTACGTTGGAAGATTGTATAAAAATACATATTAAAGAAATTCACAATGTATAGCTTTCAGAACTTACTTGGTTTAAATAGATGGTATAACATGCAATGTTGTCACAGAGTTTGTCACAAACGTCCTGGTCAGTTAAAACAACAAGTTCGTCACATGATTTGACACAGTCCGAACCTGAAGAATATGAGAAGCATGGTATAACATGGACGATAGTGAAATTTTTGTCTGTCTATATTCAATGGTAGGTTATTTGTAATAATTTGTACTATAAAAATCATTCAATTCAAAAGCATTTACATACAATATTGGTGTCAATCCGTTGAACACAAGCCATGGCATTTTCTTTTTGATATACAACAGATGAAGACTGTGATTTGATAATATGAATTATTTTGAACTTGATACAATGTTAGCTATATTTTCACAACTTCAACTGTATATTATATTAAAGATAATGAAGCTAATTAAACCACTTATTAAAGTGACTAAATTCTTGCCATTCCAATTAGTCGAACAGATAAATGGGTATGTCTCGTTACACATGGATCTGTGTAATTCTACATAAGATACATCTCGGCTGTACATTGCAACACATTGATAGCCATTTGCTGTTGAACCATTATTTGTAATCCCAACATTTGTAGATACAGAGCAATCATCCCAGAATAATGATAGTGAAGAGTTAGTGTCAGGTGCATGAAGTCCAGTCCAGTACACACCATCAGCAGACCGATGGTCCTGCAATCTGGTGAGATTTCTGGAAAAAATACGAAAGAAAACAAAGAAAAAAACAACAGAAACGTTATTAAATACAATGTGCACTGTAGAACAAATGAGGAACTTTGAATGTTGTCAAACATGAGAGGAAATACTGTATGACAGGGATGTTATCAAAGACGATGTTATGGACCTTTCCAATTTTTAGCAGTGAAAAATTTAGCCCTTCAAGTCTATTCGTTGCTAGGTCAACTGCTTACAAGCAGTTCACAAATAAAATAATTTGTTCTTAAGTGTAAACCATGTGAACCAAAAACCATATCTAATCCCAGTGTAGCAATTAGATAACCAGTCAGTTAATTTGCATGAACTGTAAATACTGGAAAGCTTCCTTGTTTGTGAGCTGAGATATTTATCGAGGTTCATCATCCAGAAAGATGGCAAAACTTATGTTTGTTTTTTGTTAAATCCAGGAATATCCATTACTTCAAACAGGTACAGTCAATATAGATTTATTTGTTTACTTCTTGCAATTTTTAAAGATGTAAAGTTAAGTTTAAGATACACATTAAGAACAAAACATTTAAAGTTGCCATTCCTATTTAATATATCCATTTTCATTGTTGGTAATTATAAAGAATCTATCAAAGATATGTTGGGCTGTCTTTACCAAACATGTTTTCTTATTAACACAAAAATCATTCATTATTCATAATAAACACTTACAAAAGTTTTGTCCAGAAATAAGACTCGGTCTCATTAGCAATACTAATCAGTTGGTCATTTAACAATCTGCAATACTCTCGTGCTTCATTCCACGTGTGAGTCTCCAGGTTTACTGTGTAAAAATGAGGCTCTTGTAGCCAAATGTTAGCCCTGCATCCTGTCATGAAATATGTTTTGCAAACAATTATAGCTTTTGATTTGATTTTATTCATTGAAAAGTCTTTAAGTCATAAATATTTTACAACATACACATGCTATAAATAAACAGTGAGTGAAACAGACATGTATATATAGCATACATAACTAACTAAAACAATATTGTATAATTTAAATTTTAGCAATAGCATGCTATAATGTTCTGGGTTTGTTTGATTAGGTTTTATGTCACACCAGCACAGTATATGTCATATGGCGACGTTCCAGCTTTACAGGTGAAGGTCTCAGGTGTCTTCCGTACATTATTTCAGGCACGAACGGGTACCTGAGTAGAACCACTGACTTTCCGTAAGCAAGCTGGATCGCTTCCTCACATGACTTAATCGTGAATCGAACCCACAGCGGTGAGAGACAAGTGGTTTGAAGTCATCGGCGACCTTAGCCATCCGGCCACGGACGCCACTATAATTTTTATGGATATTAGCAGCTAATAACATTACTTGAAACATACAATTGAATACCCATTATATGACTACTTACATACAAATCATGTAACTCCTTAACATACATTGAAATATAACACATAGATGAAATAAATCAGTCCAATGTAAATGTGTACAAATATTATATAAATTAACATGCAATATTATAATAACAAGTATATACGATATATATTTTATCAGTCAATTATCAATACGAAATATAAAAATATACAACATGATATTATTATACTATACTAAAAACAAAAAATCCTATTTTACTGATTGTAAAATGTTTAGATAAGTAACACCGTACATACCAGACAATATTGTATTCAGATACAAAATCACCCCTATCCTTACAATCCTGTTAACCGTATTCATCATTCCATCATTTAGCTGAATCTGTGTAAAAACAAATAAACACATTAGACCTGAATGAAAACAACACTGATTCGATTTATTGACAAGACCAAGTTATATCGGTTTAAATGTAATTGTTTCTACCACATTAAACACTGCCACACATTATTCAGTCGCGTATCAGATCAGTCATATCATACCAAAATTAATCAAATTAATTGGAAGGATTCTAATTTTCTCTCTCTCTCTTTAATTTGTTTTAATTATATTGTATTTTCTTTGGATAGGCCTTCTTATAAACAAAATAAAACATAGCAGACGATATTTTATATAAAAGACAAAAATAAGAACGTATTTTTTCTCTTCAGGAAGTATTACAAATGTAACAGATGTATCTCTCCGATTCCTCTTGGTATCGTCATACAAAAGGTCAGTAGTACTGATTTACTTCTGTACAAAGAAACATTTTATTTTGTCTGAAAATGTTGAACCAAGCATGTGAGTTTATTAAAGTTATATCGTAAAAAAGGTTTATCGTACTGTTTGATAGGACGTGTTGCTTCTCATATTATTTAACATCATCTAGCCGCTTATGATGAATGAATTTATGTTTCAAATGGTCACATTTGACTTAAGCTTCCGCTTTCTCCGGTATGGACTGAATAAAAACTCAGCTCAACTAAAACAAATCAAACAATATGATATCTTCGGCCTTAAGCTGATGAACATAACGATAAATTTTATCGATTTCAATTATATGGTTTAAAGAATATTAGAGTAAAGCTTTGATGTAAAAAGCAATTGTTTTCGTCACGCAAATATTATCTAATGGCCATCTCTACAGATGGGCTCTATGCCTTAACGAGAAATTTTCTCACAAGATGTAATGGGACCTATAATAAGGGTGATTTTCTTTTTAAAATACAGATCAATAAATACGCACTTTACAAAAATCTTATTGTGAAAACCGGGTAATGAAAGAAATTAAATTTGAAATACTTCTGTGATGATAGTTTTTGTGTTACTTAGTTATTTTCCTGTTATTGTGGTACAAATTTAAACGAAAAATCTAAAAAAAATTAAAGTTGTGATCATTCATATCCCCCACACACAAAAATAAACAAACCAAAAAAAACCACACACACAAAAAAATATGACGTTCTAAGTAATAACATTGTATGTATAAGAAAGATATAACCTCACACAGGGTATGAGCGGATTAACACAGCAATATATAGCTCTTCAAGCTTACATTTAATTTGCGTATATCCATATTCTCCTTTTTATACCATATTTTCTTTTATTCCATGTTAGTCACTCCTTGATCCTGTTTCAGCAGATATATCTGTATAAACACCAAAAGTGTCAATCAATCAATTCAACGCCAATAAATTTGCTTTCAGACGTTCTCTGATTCAGAGATACAGGTGACACTGCGGAAAGATGGAGAAAGGCAAATGACGACTTTATAGTCATTCTTCAGAGTATACAGGTATTTAACATTTACTTCAATTTTTGGATTTGGGATTTTAATTCTTTGGCAATTAGATTATAAGCACAAGTATATATTGGCATTTTAAAACAGAATAGCACTTCAAAGAATCGTTAGTAGTATCAATAGAATATAGAAAAACGTAATAAATGTAATAAATTTAAATCGCATGTATTTTTCAAATCGAATAAATGAGATAAAATAACAAAAAAGTTAAAAAAAAAATAGATTTTAATAATCAGTAACACCATAAGGAAAAAACGCTTTAAATAAGAAAAATATAATGGAAGAAAGTATGTGAAGATTAAATGATTAGTAAATAGGTGTTGAATAAAATGTAATAAAAGAAAACTACCCCTGTTCATTTGTTATTTTCAAATTTCAAATTGAAATCCGAGAATCTCGTCGGCCATTCTAAGTTAGTAAAGTGGTATAAGTTGTTTTCTGAAACGAACTCTATAAAGCTTATAAAATTATTACGGAGTTATGCATTATGATTGTAGATCCAATTCCTGCCTAATTTACGTTTTTTTTTCAATGGACAAAGTTTATTGTTAAGCGTAAATTGATAAAACTTAGATCTTCTTCGGCTTTAGAATTAGTTGTATAGGCCCATATGCACATTTTGTATTAATTATAATATTCATTATATGTTTTTTACAGTTAAGTACAATCACCGAATAAGTTTAACACGTTATAAACCACGACTAATTTTAAGGAGGCTTCAAACTTTCAGTCATTAAACATCTTTCTTTTTCAAGGGAAAACCAACAAGTATTTGTGAGTCTTCTTCTACAGAAAATGTTTACATTGTACAATGTATGTATTTTGTTTGCTACATATGCGCAAGTTTAAAGTTTATGAGTATATCTTATGTCAAAAATACAAAACAAATATTAGGTCTTTAAAATGATGAACCAGTGTCAGACCAATGTTGAAATACCTTAGCCTACGTTCTAATATATCAGAAAATAAAACCACATCGTGTCAAAGTCATTGATCAAAATTACATTTCTATGGCAACTTCTCAACGATTTTCAAACAAGGGGAAGTTAAAGCCCTTTCGTGTAGCTAGTCTAACAGATTCCTTTCCTTCACCGAATTCAACTTGGGCGGATTCAAATCAACATCGAGTTAAAAAAAGTCACAAAATATTCAGTTACGTATTTCTAGTTTCTAACGGTAAAACTCACACAATTTTCTCAACAAAAAAAATGTTTCAATATTCTTATCGCTCTATATACAAATAATGGAACTCTTCTTAGTTCTCCTTACTGTTTGAAAAACGTTAACTGTACTCTTTCAATATAACGGTCCTTAAATGCTGTCTAGTCAAGATAGGTAATATCATGGCACCGAATATTTTTAGTTTGTCTGATATCTCAAAATTAATTTTATCAACTTAATGCATTAAAGTGAACAAAGATTTTTTAAAGCTTGATTTGCAAGCGAGTTTTGTGCCTGATGAAAACGACCATTAGAAGAAAGATTTACACCTAGATAAATTAATATAGAGAAAAACAGAATCCCTAAAGAAAGCCCAAGACGGCAAACTTGAAAATGTTGCAGGCTCGGTTTGATTGAGCCTGTTTATGGACGGTGCTGGAAAGTGCAAGTTACCGTCCCTGCCCCTAGCACCGGCTTACGCAGAATTCAACATTTAAACACGAAAATTGTGAAATTATGAATTTAGAAACATCCGCAGATTTTTTTATACGGCGGTTATCATGGAACCTTTAATGTGACACAGTAGTGTCATTCCATTAAAAGTGGCGTATGGTACCCTAGTAAAAGAATGCGTGTGCACTTAACGAGAAAACAATGGGCGGAACTAATTAATATGGAATCTTGAAAGAGGATCTGATGTTATGATGCCTGCAGACAGTTCAAAAGAAAATTTTTAAAAAGCATACACATATCCCAAGTGTGATTATATTGTATTTAAGTAAGAAAACTGGAACCACCCAAGTTGAAAAAGGTCAAATGAAGAAACTATAATACGACATAACATGTATACACAACAATTATGTCGTGCTGAAGTTCAAAAACTTCTGGTTTTTTATTACCATAAAATACATCATAATCTTGCAACGTAAAACCCAACCAAAAAAAAAAAGAAAAGAAAGGGAAAATACGTTTATAAAAACACATTAGAGGAGATAATAGCTCTACTTGTTTACACCCATTAAAGGTTGGAAATCATTTGTTCAAGTACGATTCATCCTTATACATGATCGAACGTTCTCATACATTACTTATAACGTGTTAACTGTTTTCAAACAGAGTCTGTAATTTTTATGTAATTTTGTTGTGATAAGTGGTTGGGAGGATCACTGTTTTCCAGATATTTGAACGTTTCCGTTTGTTATAATCTTAAACATCGTCCCTATACAGAACATCAAATATTTACAGTGTTTTTTAGTGGATTTAACTCGCTTGTTTTTTCTGGTCAGATGTTAGCAAATGAGTTATCCATCTGGCAGTTTTCCGTCTAAAAAGAGACAAACAGAATCCCTAACGAAAACCCAACACACCAAAATTGAAAATGTTGCACGTTTGAGCCTGTTTATGGACAGTATTGGAAAGTAAAAGTTACCGTCCACGCCCCTTAGGACAGACTAGCAGTATTTTACATTTAAACATGCAATGGTCAAATTTTAAATTTATAAACGTCCGCAGATATGTTCATTAGGTGGTTATCAAGGAACTTTCAATGTGACACGTTAGAGCCATGAAAAGCGGCGTATGATCTCAAAGTAAAAACGTACGAGAAAAATAGACAAAAACAACTAAACAAATTGGAATTATGAAAGGGGATCAAAGGTTATGAAAAATAAAAAAAGGTAAAAAATAAAAAGTCAAAATTTGAAATTTGTCACAAGTTCAAAAAGTGTCAATCATTCAAAAGGTTTTTCAAATCTTTTACATCGCAAGAAACAATTTGCAAATCATACTTATCTCTGTGACCTATGGGTTGATGCTGGTGCTATGTCTGTAGAATAGAGAAAAACAGTATTCCCAAAGAACGTCGGACACAACAAAATTGAAAATGTTGCAAATTTAGAAACATCCGCAGATGCGTTCGTACGGCGGCTTGATTGAGTTTGTTGCCATTACACAGCTTATGAACAGCCCTTATCCTTGCCCCTCTGGTTTAGATTATTTCCGGTATTAGAGCGCAGAATCTATCCATCTTTTCAGGGTGAATTTATTGTCTTTAAATCGAACGACGAATGGCCAAACTTTTCTAGGCGAGAAGCCAATTTTTCAGGCTACATAAGGCTATCATAAGCGTTTTTAGTTTCCGGTCCAGACATATCCAATATGATATGAAAAACAAGATCAACAAGAAAGGGCGGCTTTCAACGAACGCAACCCCCATACGAACCAGCAACACCGGACCACCGGCAAGGAGCCAAGCAGGATTAAATTAAAACACGACAGGGCACAAACTTGTTAACCAAAGTCATTGACTAGGTCATTACTGTCAGTGTTTAATACCTGTCGTTAAACGGTTTCTGATATAAGAGGTTTCGGCCTCTCTTTTGCGCTAGCAGCGCAGTCAATATTGGTCTGTATGTGGCTTTTGGAAACGGATACCTTTCTTGCATGTAATTCTCAAAGGATTTT